AAACATTCATCATTTCATATTTTTCAAATACCTTTCAAGTACATTTATTTTATATATTTCTTTAGAAAAGCCTGTCCAGGACAGATTCAAAAGAAGTTTCCTACCATCTGGAATAAGGCTGCTGTCGAAATAAACATTAATGTGAATTTCTGTTGAATTTTTACATTACATAATACGAATATATAAAACTCTAAAGGTTTGAGATAAATTCCTACATATGGTAGAAAGATGCTTCTGATTTGATATGATTACCAGATTGGAAACAGCAAAGACCAATACCTAAGTTGTCTTTGCACATCAACAATAACAACAACAACAACTTTATTTTTCTCTTCTTTTTGAAATTTTATGAAAGTAATATATTTATATTTATACGGCAATTTAAATTCTATGTATATCTATAAATATGTGTTATATCCTTGTAGGGCCATGAAAGATTTCCTACTGGGGCAATAAACTATCATCTTATCTTATCTAAAGGGGATGGGTGGGAAAACTGTATACTGTTTTTTTTCTTGCGGGCTACTTGATAAAGCTTAGCGATTTTTCAAGATTTTGATAGAACCCACAACTTCCAAGTCATTCACAAAAATGTTACCACAGTCTATGGTATTGTCCACTATTTGTACATATTATATAACCATCCCTTTCAAGTTCAGACAGAACTTTCTACATTATGTCATAATCTGTGCCTGCCGGTAAAACATATTTACAGCATCATCTGTGCTTGTAGCTCTCCTGCAGTGTTTTCTTTTAACTTTTTTTCTGTACTGCGTGGCACTGGAGCACAATTGCAGTTAAAAATGAGATGGTTGTGTTCAAAATAACAAAGTGTATATCTAGGAGTATGTCAGACAACATACGTGACATAGGCCAACTCAAATCACAAATTTCAAAACTTTACAAAAAACAAAAAGGGCAATATGCAAAACAAAAAAGGAGTGCTGGAAAAAAACCTGGTGTACAGTATGCTGGCAGAAACAACAAAAAATTTGAGATTGTTTTAGAATGCTACTAGTCTGCTATTGAGCAGGAATATGCACTATACAAATGCTATTGGTTATATGTTTTTAAAGAGAGACAGGGTGAGACGGAGAAGAAAGCATTGTTTGTTATCAGCTCTTGCAGATACTAAAGCAATCGTGATTTGAGAAGTAATTGAAAGTTTTGAAATGTGTAATAGGGGCTATTGACATTCAAATACTGCAACTTAAAACTTTTTTATGTGACCTTTACTTGACCTGGAATACTTATAGGTATTTTTGGTTTGTTTTCTAAAAAGTTTTTTTTTAGGGGGGGGGGTTGTCTCACATTACAACATACACAAGTATATATGTAAGAGTGTGTGTGTGTGTGTGTGTTTGTGTGTGTGTGCATGCGTGCGTGCATGTGAGTGTGTATGTGTTTGTGTGTGTGTTTGTGTGTGTGTGTGTGTGTGTGTGTGTGTGTGTGTGTGTGTGTGTGTGTGTGTGTGTGCGCATGGATGTGTTTGGCTGTAAGTGGGACATGCTATTGTAAACCAAATGGCCTTGCACAAATCAAGAAAGCTGTCTTTTGTATTGTTTTCTGTTTTTCCTTTTTTTCATATCAAGCGTCAAATTATTTTCTTTCTATTTTTCTTTGCGCATTTGAAACAGTAAAAAAACAATATGCGGCACCTTTCTTTCGGTGGAGTTCCCTCCCAGCGGCCGAGGTCACTGGTCGGGTTCAAGTCCAGTGTCAGGGAAGCATTTGAGCCACGTCTGAAAAAAATAAGTGGTATCATGAGGTAGGTAGGTAGGTAGGTAGGTAGGTAGGTAGGTAGGTAGGTAGGTAGGTAGGCAGGCAGGTGGGTGGGTAGGTAGGTAGGTAGGTAGGTGGGTAGGTAGGTAGGTAGGTGGGTGGGTAGGTTGGTGGGTAGGTAGGTATTTTCTTCAAAGTTTAACTTTAAGCCATTGACTTACATCACATAAAGCATATAAATTTTACAATAACGCAAGACTTCTGTAAAATAAGCACAAATTGTAAATGATTCAACTATCAATAACATTCAAAAAATGTTTTGTGTTGTTAAACAAAGATTTCATAAAATATATAAGTGTAGGTTGTACATATCATATCCCTTTTTTTCTTGGGTAAAAAACTAAAGATTTTTATCACTGGCTTGAGTTGCAAAGGGGAGAATGGATAATTTTCTTTGATATGCAGAGCTTGAAGAATTTTTTATAATAAAATTTAATGAGAGTTGCATCATGAGAAATATCAAAGAAAGACTTTCTGCACTTGAGAATTAGCATTTGGGCACCACGTGAGTATTTTGAGCAAATGAAAACAAAAGAATGTCTTAGTTTAGCTTTAGTAAGAGTTTTACGGCACTTGAGGCACAAATAAGGTCACATAAGTGCTGAAGATCAGAAGTGTTACAAGAGAGTAACAAACACAAAAAAGGAGGAGACATAAGGATGATAGATATTTGATAGAAAAGAAGGAGGACACCACACCAGAGCACCCACAAACCACCCGCAGAATTTTTTAACAATTTCTGTAGAAATAAAGGCAAAGGTAACTATCCTCCCAAATTTTTGAGCAAACGGGGGAATTTTTTGTCAACTCACCAAAAAAAATAAATACACAATGTATATCAAATCCCATACCAGTCCACATTTTTTTTATTGAACACAGCTACTTCATAACTTTTTAACATCAAACGATAATAAAACTTCTCTTTGCTTTAAATTAAACAAAGAGAGAAAACATTTAACCCTGAAAAACACAGGAGCATAAAAATATGACTTAGAATAGGGAGAGGCGATATATATGATGAATAACCTTTTCACGTCAAGTCAAATGACTTGTGGAAAGACCTTGGCGCAAAGAGGATATGGTAACATGTCTCTCTATTCTAAACTTCAAAACCGACATTTTCTCACATTTTGTCGGGAATTGTTCATATATATACATTTTACAAAAATTCAAACTTCCTAGAATACTTTCTCTCCCCCTCCATCCCCACTCCAATATCTCATGCCTCTGAAATGATATTAGGCTCATTTTCTATTGTGGCATATTCAACAACAAAAACACGTAAGCAGAAAAGGGAATATTTGAGTACAGCACCTAGACCACTCATAAGGAGGAGAAAGAAGGGGCACTTTTCCTGAAAAAAAAGAGGGAGAAATAGGGTGGAGGAGCCAACACGAGACCTCAGGAGCAGTCAGAAACTTTCCTCTCTTTTCCCCACCTCCCCCAAAAACAAACAAACTAACAAACAAAAAAACACACACACACAAACACATACAAACAAAAACATGTGAACAAACACATACAAACAAAAACACACAAACAAACACATACACAAACAAAAACACACACACAAACAAACACACAAACACACACACAAAGACAAACAAACAAACAAGCACACACACAAACAAGCACACACGCAAACAAACACACACACACACAAACAAGCACACATGCAAACAAGCACACACACAAACAAGCACACACGCAAACAAACACACACACACACAAACAAGCACACACGCAAACAAGCACACACACAAACAAGCACACAAGCAAACAAACCTCTCTAGTAGCCCTTTCGCTTTGATGCGTATCGGCTGCGCCGGCACAGGGGTCGACAAGCCAGCAGCACTGAAGGTGGGAACCGGGGAGTCAGGCTGCACCGGGGTGGGCTCGGCTAGCTCTGGCTTCAGGGCTGGGTAGTAGATAGAGTGGCCCACCACCGCCTCCTCGTCCACCTCCTTCTTCTCTTTGGAGTTCCAGCAGAAGCAGAAGTATATCTACACATAGGTGAAAGATGGGGTAGAAGACGCGATAAGATGGGATGGGATAGGATGGGATTTAGATGGAATGAGATGATACTGAGATGATGATGAGATGAGATGGGATGGGAAAGGATGGGATGAGATGGTACAGGATGGGATGGGATGATTATGAGATGATGATGAGATGATGACATGGAATTAGATAAATGAGATGAGATTAGATAACATGAAGAGATGAAATGAAATGAGATAATGATAGATAAGATCGTGAGGTGAGATTAGATGAAATGAGATGAGATTACACAAGATGTTGAGATGAGATTAGATTAAATGAGATATAACGTACTTTACTCATCCTCCATTGAAAGAAATTAACAGTGTGCTTTCACCATCTTCTTCCACATAAAAAGATACAATAAAAAAACAAACTAGGTGTGAACCGGAATATAAAAAAATTGCAATCCCTTTTGGGTGATAAGGTTTTATAAGTCAAAGACTAAGTGGCGTTTGTGGTGTAGCAGTTAGGCCCTCCGCCATTGCACACAGAAGACGTGGGTTCGATTCCAGTGAGAGGAGGATCTTCATCCAGTTTCTCAGTCTTTCTACAGGGAGGTTAAATTGTATCCCTCTCAGCCTTGTTTGGCCCTGGAGGGTCGAAGCAGCCCGCCTCCGAGATGATCTAAATTGTGTTTGATGATGGTAAAACAAATCTAGAACGCAGTTACCATTACATGCACGGGTGAAATACACACACACATACACACACACACACACACACACACACACACACACACACACACACACACACACACACACACACACACACACACACCAACAACAATAACAACAACAACAACAACAGCAGCAACAGCAGCAATAACAGCAACAACAACATCAACAATCCAAAGACTTACTGCAAACACTATCAAGATAACGAGCCCCACGGACACACCCGCCACAGCGTAGGGGAAGTAAGTCTTGGTCCAGATCGGCTCGTGATGGCGGGAGGTTATCTCCCTCTGAAGAAAACACATTGCGTCACGACATTATGGAATCAGGCGCTCGTCAATTTTGGGGCGTGAGGGGTTATTGATATAGCCTAAACATAAAGCTTGTTCATTTGTCTTGCTTTTGATGAAAAAAAAATACTCATCTCTCTGAAATAGATCGAGATATTTGCGATAGAAGGAGGGAGGTAAAATTAACGAGGACCTTGATGACTCACAAAGCTTGAGCACTTAAAAACTATTTTAAGTTAACATTTATTTTTTTCTGGTGCTTTTAATCGATGTGTTCGGTAAGACCCCACTCTTAAACGTATTTTTAACTGGACATAAAAAGTGTGGAGCAAAAAGAATTGCTAAAATTTTCCGTGAGGAAAAATGTCGGTTTCTTCCATTTAATTATTTTGACGAGCATCCGATTTCACCCCAATGTCACATGATATAATAATATTATCTTATGTCATTACAAAATTACATATATTAACCAAAAAAAAAATAATTAAAAAAAAAAATAAATAAAATAAAAATATAATTATTATACTTACTTCAGTTTTTTTCGGCCTCTGTGGGTGTCGAGAAGATAAGCAAACTATTTCTCTTGTTTGTTGTATCGCCTGTTCCTTGGTTATATTGTTTTTGTCTAATGTTTCTCTGACTCCCTGTCCCTTCTCTTACACAATATTATACGCGTATGGGTCAATTCACCTTAACAGAGGTCGGTGATGGTTGTTTTTTGGGGTTGATTTCGTTGATTTGGCGTGGTATAAATAAGTTTAACACTCCATTCAAACACTGATGGAGAGGGTGAACTTAATACCATATCGGTACTAAATGAACTTAACTGAAATTTTGCCATTTCCAAGTGACCTTGAATCACCTGACCACGGTGTCCATCTTGGATTTGACAATTTCTTGTGACAAAAAGGGGTATCCACTCAAAACAATCTTTAAGGTGGACTACAAACGACAGTGGGGTTGGCAGCTATGTGTCATATGCTACATGATAAGCTAGTGTAAGTATCGTGATACTGTGTGCGCATGTTAAATGCCTTTACGTTCAGAAGAGATATTATAATGTATTCACGTGCAAATTCTTAGCTTGCAAACGACAACTTTAAAACGATATTAAACATCTACAAAGAGTTGGCGCCTACCTTTTTCTTCTTTAACAACCCCCCCCCCCCACAAAAACCCCCAGGCCTGTATTTTATGTAATATCCACACTGAAACTGCCAAGTCTATCTTGAGCTGCTTACAGAGTTTAAAATGAGATAATCGAATCATCCGACCCCGACATCATCTCTACAACCACCCTGAAATATCTATAGGTCCCAAAGTTCATTTTCATATTCAACATGACATGCCGCTCAACAGATGGCAGGTTTTTAGGGAGGAAAATAAAGGGAGAGTGGACTGCCTCACAATCTCAGATAACATGAAGGAGTTTGTTCTGGTCGTCGCGAGAAGCTCTCTGCACAGGTTCGTGGCTAGGCGCAACAGATGAACTAATGACTGACTCCGGTCCCTCTAAACCTGTTGGCAATTCTCTCTCTCTCTCTCTCTCTCTCTCTCTCTCTCTCTCTCTCTCTCTCTCTCACACACACACACACACACACACACACAAAAACACATACACACTCACACACATGCACACACACAAACACAAACACACAGCAACAACAACAACCCAATGTCGAACCTGCTCTTACGGCCATCTGAATAAATAATCACTTGTACAAAAGTCCATTCTTACCCCATCCCTCCCACACCCCCCTCCAAAGCATCTATATTTCTTACACTATAACGACACCTTGTAAGACGGCCACAGGTCTAAAATGGCAACTTTCTTCTAAAAAATGTGTGGTCGACCGCCTCAGAAAATTTCGACTAGATCTAAAGGCTACTCACGTCAGGCGAGACCTGTGAAAGGCCAAGGTCAGGCACGTGACCACTGAGTCTGTCCTGGAGATCCTCTGACAGGAATCTGTTGGCAGTGACCAGCTGACCATCAGCGTTCTCGAAGTAAAACTCGATCCGACTGCCAGCGAACTGAAAACAGAATAAAAGAGATCCTAATTAGTTTCGGACGACAGTCGTCTAAGATCCCACACTGGCGTCTGTCGTGTATCGGTTAGACGCTTGACTATTGCACGCCGGAGACCTAAGTTCGATCCCCGAATGGAAAGATTTTTTGTCGAGCATGTAATTGGTCTTTCTTCTGGGATGTAGATTCTATTCCTTTCAGCCCCGTTGGCTCTGAAAGGCAGGGTCGAAGGCCTGCCTCCCTAATGATCTAAATTGTGTCGATGCAGGTGTTACAACTACATTTTAAAACAAATTAAGGTCTCACAGAGCCCTCCGTTAGCTCAGTAAGTTGGTATCATGAGTTGGGCGGATGACCCTGGTTCGAATCCCTGACTAGGCGTTCTTGAACTCAGGTCGTCATGTTGAGTTTTCAAGGCTCTCAACCCATTTGCTTCGGTATTATCGTAGACGGGAGTTAAATTCAGAGGCCCCGCGTCTTAAATAACCTAAAAGTGTTGATAGGGGCGTTACATCCATACACTTACCTATTAATATTCCAGCATTGTCCTTGCTCCCAAGCACTGGGATCTTAGGCAGGGACTACTATAGTTGTAAAACGCATAAAGCATGACATAGTGCATGGGTACTGACTTTATTATTATTATTATTATTATTATTATTATTA